CGACTGCTCGAATTCAAGCGAAGGCTCGATCATTACCTCAAGTATTCTTTCCACAAGAACGAGACGCTGGGGAATGCCTTGCACAAGGCGTTTGAGACATTCATCAACAAGACCAAGAAATCCCAGTCAAACTGGGACACGGACAATGCGAAACCCGGCGAAATGATCGCCAAGCACGTCGACCTCCTCCTCAAAGGCGGCGTCAAAGCAGTGCCTCGCCTGCAGGCTCAAAAACCTGACCCGTCAAAGCCGGACGAAGAGCATGATTTCGACGACAACCCTGCGGACGAAGATGCCGAAATAAACCAACATCTCTCCAACGCCCTCGACCTTTTCCGCTTCGTCCACGGCAAAGCTGTCTTCGAAGCCTTCTACAAGAAAGACCTGGCCCGCCGTTTGCTCATGGGCCGTAGCGCCTCCTTCGATGCTGAGCGAAACATGCTCACGCGCCTCAAGAATGAATGCGGCGCCGCCTTTACGCACAATCTCGAGTCTATGTTCAAGGACATGGACCTCGCACGGGAAGAAATGATGTCCTATAATCAGTTGCTTGACGACAGAGGCGGGAAGGAACCCGGCCTCCCCGATCTCCACGTAAACGTGCTCTCAGCGGCAGCATGGCCCACGTATCCAGACGTTGCCATAAACATTCCCCCACACATCGCCAAAGTCATGGCCTCGTTCGAAAAGCACTACAAGGCAAAACATTCGGGCCGCAAACTGACCTGGAAACACGCCCTGGCCCACTGCCATCTGCGCGCCAAATTCCCAAAGGGGAACAAGGAACTTGTGGTGTCGGGCTTTCAGGCGGTCGTGCTGTTACTATTCAACGACATCCCTTCTGACAAACATCTGACGTACGCCGAAATCAAAGCCAGCAGCGGCCTCGTCGACGCCGAACTGAAACGCACGCTCCAATCCCTCGCGTGCGCGAAATACCAAGTGCTCCGCAAACATCCGCGGGGCCGAGACGTCAGCGAGACCGACACCTTCACCTTTTCGCACACCTTTAGCGATGCCAAGATGCGCATCAAAATCAACCAGATCCAACTCAAAGAAACGAAGGAGGAGAACCGCGAAACGCACGTCCGAGTTGCAGCGGATCGGCACTATGAGACACAAGCCGCGATTGTGCGGATCATGAAATCTCGCAAAAAGATCGGACACAATGAATTGGTCGTTGAGGTTATCAAGGCGACCATGTCCCGCGGTGTGCTGGACCAGGCGGACATCAAGCGGAACATTGAAAAGTGAGTACCGCCTGTTGCTGTTTCCATTTGGTTTGGCCCACTTGGCTTTGGCGTAACGTACATCAATTATGGGAGTACTGACTCTTGCTGTGCAACTATACAGGCTCATCGAGAAGGATTACATGGAAAGGGAGGAAGGGAACACCTACTCGTACGTTGCTTGAGAACACAGGGCTGTCTATTGTACTGGAGTAGGCCAGCCTTGAGAGACAGAGAAGCGAGCAACTCGCCATGTCATTCACTCATCTTGCGTTTCGGTACTTTGCGGGCCCTCTTGAGTATCATGGACGTACAAGTGTCACGACATGGCGTAGATACGTGCTAAAGTAGATAGATATATCTGCGTGTGTGTCTGTATGTGTGTACCTATGATGAAGAGATGAATGCTGTCTACGGCCAACCTCCACAGAGCTTGGTTTCAAAGGGAGGTTGGATCGAAGCTGGTGACAGAAGGATGAAAGATGAAAGATGAAAGATAAAGTCTAGAGTCTAGCCACGATATCATCTGCCGTAATGAGCCGCGTTGAGTCGAGTCGAGTCGAGTCGAGCCGTGTTGAGCCGTGTTGAGCCGTGTTGAGCCGTGTTGAGCCGTGTTGAGCCGTGTTGAATCGAGTCGGGTCGAGTTGATGTGAGCTGAACTGAACTATACTGGGGCAAGATTTTCGAACCGACTGACTGGCCTCCGTCGGATGAGACGAGCAATACAGTACTATCAGGTATCTATCGGGGAAAACTCTACTCGCTGTACTTCTATAGGTGCTAGTTATCTACAGTGGACAATCTACGAGTTACATACGGGATACATGACTAGTAACACCGGGTCATACTCCAGGCGAGCAATCCGGCGAGGTCCGCATGTGTAATAGTAATAGTAATAGTATTAGCACCGACGGGATGGGATGGATGAAGTAGAAAAATAGTATCCTGCAACATAAGATTTTACGAGGTACTGTAGTCAGGTAGGTACATAGGTACATTAGGTGGGCAGGTGAGATACAATAGGTGGCTACAGTACAGAGGAGAGAGGGAATGGCTCTGGCTCTCATGCACGTACTCCGTATGTACTCCGTACACCGTACACCTACAGCACATCTACCTCGTGCGATTGCGATTGCGATTGCGATTACGCTTACGATTGTCCACGGGAGGCCGCTCCCCTACAGTACCTACAGTACAGTACTCCGTATATACCCACTACTTCTGCTGCCTCTTAACACACTCTGGTCAGTCGATCGATTGAAAGATTGGCTTGCGCTGCGCTACGCTGCGCTTAAAGCTATTGGCACAAGAGTAGGTACTGTATGGAGTACGATCTTGGGGATAAATACTATCGGAGCGCCCCGACGACGATAGCATGGAACCTCAGCATTCTGCGTTACTGCCAGAAAATCCTCACAAGCTAAAGGGCAGTACTCTAATCACGAGGAACTTGCAAGACCCTGACATAGATACATGGCTAGATACATTGTCCGGTCCAACACGTGTAGTTGCAGATGAAAACCACCCAGGCATGAACTGAACCCCAAGCGCTCTCCTTCAGCACTGACTGCTCACCGCTTGGTAGAGGTCTTCCGGGCAGCCTTGTAAGGGTTTCCTTCCAGTACCCCGAAATAGAACCCCCTAATTGACTCAACCCAATCCGCCGCATATTACCTCAGCTCTCATTCACAATGCAACTCAGGAGAGCTCGCGCTTCCGGCCCATGGCGTCTCCACGGCTGATAGATGGGGGTCAAGTAATTGCCGTGATATTTCTGGACGTCACGGCTCGTTACCTTTAGTAGCGATCATCAGGACGCCCAGACGAGCTTCGGCCGTCACCGTAGTGCTAGAGGATTCCCAGTCAGCTCGGGGTCTTCCTGCCTATGACTACGCACGACTCACCTTCTTCCTCAAAGCAGCAAGCCTCTTCTTCTTGGTGTGAGTATTGATATAGGTGCCAATGCAGAATGCCACAATGTTAAAGAATGGAACCCAGGTCTGCTCAGGCAGGAACTTCTGGGCGAAGGCTAGCGCGAGAGGAGAAGTGATCCAGCTGACGCGCATGACGGGCCAGAAACCGGCACGGACGGTCGCCCGAACTTGATGCCAGGCGCGTGCCCCGGCGATGATGGCCATGCAGGAGAGATAGACGGTGTTCTGGATCGGTGCGATCTATTGACACAGTGAGCGCGCCATCCAGCGTTATGCGACATCAACGGGACTGGTGACATACCACCAAGTTGCTGGTCAAGATCTGAAGGATCTTCGCTTTCAAGCTTGTGCGACCAGCGAAAATCCATTGCAGGAAGCCGATGAGCACATGGCCCATGGGAGCAGAGATGAATGCGCCATACGCGGCCATTTTTGGTATCCTCGAGGAGAAGTAATGGCCATGCTTGCTCTTGTCGTGCGCCAGCCAGGAAGCCAGCAGTTCTTGTAGAGCGGAGAGTGTCCCCGAGGTCAGCATCTTGGTGCGCAGAGGGTTCGATTGGAGCTGTTTGAGATAGGCCTGCGCGAATGATCAGTCGCACCCAGCTGAACCCGGGCGAGAGTATACTTACAGCCAGGTATCCGGTTGTTTGCTTCCCACCAGTCAAAGCCTCTCCGATCTTGTGCGCAGTGCTCTCATCGCGACCGCCGGGAACGGCGGGCGCCATCGTCCGCACCTGTTCCTTCTCGAATTTGACCGACATGGTAAGAGGTTGCGCGTCGTTACTTGTGGGCGACAAGGAGCACGTTTCGAGTAAGTCTCACTCGAAACTTGAAAGCCGTCGACGCAGGTCAGCGACGTGGCTTAGTATGACGATGAAGAAAGGAAATGGTATCGGTGGTGACGAGAGTGTTGTTGACAAAAGGCAGGGGACTCGGTGCCGAGGCCCTGTTTAGATTGGTGGAGGGGATGGGCGATGGGGACGGGGGCTCGATTGCGGAGGGCGACTCGAAGGTCTACAAGTACCGAACTGATGAACCGTGGACGAGTACGGAGGACTTTGTGGCACTGCTTAGGCCGGCGACTTCAAGCAATACCAACTATGGTGGCAGTAAGCTGACCCCGACGACGTTGGTGCAGGTGTGCGAGAGGCGATGCACGCGTACCAGGAGAGAGTTGTCAGGTGAATGGACGCGCCACGGCAGGCTGCTCGTCGAGTGTCGAGGTTGTGAGCTGGCAATTTCAGCTGCGAAAGCCCAGTCCCACTCTACAGTAACTCTCCTTGCGCTCCACCAATCACCGTCGCCGATGGCGCCCAGAGATAAACATGGCGGGCATGTATGTAGTCAGTGGTGCGATCGCCTGTTGCTTCACTTCATCTGTGCGATCAGTTCTACAATAACCCTATGGCGGCCACAGGGAAGGTGGACAAGTAAGTCTAAGCATGAGGCCACAACACAGCGCAGCTAGTCGCTATCACAATGGGCTTATGTTGCAATAGCTGGGCACATGAAAATCAGGTGAACTGCGGACGAAGGTGAGAAGAAGCAGAAGCGAGGAGCAATGCGCGTAACCGTGAAGAGGGAGAAAGTGCAAAGTGAAGGTGCGGCAGCATGCGCAGTCCACGTCGTCGTTGCATCGATGTGATGGTGTCGAGGTGTCGAGGTGTCGAGGCGCTCCTGCCTGGCATCAACTGAACTTCATCTTCCATTCACTCTTCCCTTGCGTGTTTCCTCGCAATCACAACTCATCCTTGTCGTGCCCTTTGCTGCCTCAATGCCTCTCGTTCGAAGGGCCGTCGTCGGGCTGGAGAGGAGGAATCCTTGCACGCATACCACCATGACTCGTCTCTTCGACACGTACGGGTCCTTCAGGTGCGCCATCTGTAACAAACATCCCAGCATCGGCTGGCTCTACCGTTGCACTCAAGACACTGGCGGCTTTCTGCCAGAGTCCGACTTTACTGACGTGCCGTGTCCCTCGAGGAGCCGCGCCGACCAAGATGTCACCACTCATTCACTCAGCAGCTCTGTCATTAGGGCCATTGGAGAAGGCCATTACACCGACGAGCAGGTCAAGAAACTCATCCAGCTGAAAGAGGGAGTCCGCCATCTGGTCGTGTCAGAACAGCAATCGGGAGACAGCAGACCTCCAACAAGCTCAACTTTCTCTACCGCATCCTCCTCATCCTCGGATGGCGATTGCACCTTCTCGACCATCCCGCAAAGCACAACCTTCTCAACGACCTCGTCCACCTCGCTCGACGAAGAGATCAAGCAGGCGTACGACTGGAAAGAGTTGCAAAAAATCTGGATGTCTGAGCCATCCATGGCACCGCCGGAGCCTTGCACGAAGTCGTTTTCGACGATACCGGTTCCATCACCACCTCTGCCACAGCCTCAGAAGCTCCCCCGACCACAACCCTGCACGTTTAAGATCTGCCATACATGCCGCCCAACCTGCCGTGAACGTGCCTACCAATCGTTGGAAGATATCCTGAACAGACCGGTTCAGATGCCACCACTCTGGGAGTTACAAAACCGACGAGTCTCTGACGCTCGCATCGTTGCACAAATCGGCCTACCAAAACTTGATCGGTCCCGATTCTATGAGCAAATGGACCCTGCCGCTCTGCACTCTAGCTGTACAATTCCTGGGATCGTCATCGATGATTCGGACGGCGAGGTAGACTACTTCGATCCAGCAACAGAGGAATATATTGCATATGTGCCAGGAGCGGACTCCAGACCCTGTGAGAGCCGTTCCAATAACAACAACTGGGGCGAAGATCATTTCCATGACAACCAGCCGGCTGAAAATCATTCCAACGATCGGGTTGACGTACTCTCCGTCGACAAGCGTAGCAGCTTCCGCCAAACCATCCGCAAAGCCCTGACCAGAGCCCGTCGTGATGGCACCACTGCCATAGACTCGAACACAGATACCTCTGATCCCGACTGCGACTCTCATGTCCGACCACAACCACAATCTCGGCCTTCTAGCTCCCTGATCTTTCGACGCCGCCGTTCCCGTGCATCTACGCTCTCGTTTGTCGAAACCCCCGGTGCTCGAGTCGTGGATACGAGTCCTTTGCAGGAATCAGTCATGCTCATGGTCGCCACCAATACGCCGCTACCGCAAACACCGGGCATGAATGGTTTCAACTTGAACCCAAGTGTAGAGGATGGGCCTATCGACGACAAGACGGACGATCAAGGAAGCTACTTCCCACAGATGAATATCATTAGCCAGGCATAAGTGGGAAAACACGCTGGGAAAAGCATTCCACAGTGCATGAGGCATTGACGATTTCGAGAAATTGAGTGAAGATGGGGCACGGGATGTCGCAGAAGCAAAATGTACAAACACGTTCAGGGCAGGGGAACGAACAATCACAATCAGTTGCGCGAGACACAGGACAGGAAGCTGGTCGCATTTCTGGGCGTGAGTGCTGTCAGCAGCAAGCGAGAGAATTTTTTCGCCCGAGATGTATTTACCCAACCGTACGTCGCATACGTGGCAAAACGCGCCATAATTGTTCTCAGCTCAGAAGCCCTTACAATCCTTCTACCTATCGTTCTGTGCCCTTCCTTCTTCGGTCCTTTCAGCAGCAAGTTGACGACGCCCAATGCGGACGCAGGTCCAGATGCTATGGACACAATGCAGCACAGACTAGGAGATCCAACGCTGAGATTACCACTATGCCACTGAACGAACCCCTGCGTGAAACCTACTTGGAAGCTCCGAGAGTGAAACCCAATCCCTGGTACAGTAATTGCCTTGCGCGCTATGAAGGGGGGTGGGTATGTATCAACAGCGAGACGATCCTGTGGGTCGTAATGGTCTGCCATCAAACATGAAGATTGCGCCTAGAGCACAACCGTGGCATCCATGGCTCCAATCAATATCTCTTTGCCAATCGATCAATCAACCTGGAACAGAAAGCGGCGTGGGCCAACCTCAACCTGGTGCTCACTCACCCCAGTTCGGCTTGGGGCCGTGGTGTCTAAGCTTGCTGTACTCCGTATTCAACATTGGAAAATCACAACTCTGGCGTGGTGGCGGCGCGCGCACACATACGATCTTCCCGGATCCTGTGGTATCAAGCACGCATTGCGTTTTGACCATCACAGCAGACAGTCCTGTTCCCCACGGAATTCCTGTGGATTCCTGATCAGCAACGAGCTGGCAACTTGGCGGGGTGTGACTTACCTGGTTAGCTGGCGGGAGGCTTCCCTCTTGCCGCCAGCTTGACTCACGTCCACGAGTCGGTTCCTCGAATTTCGTCCTCGTTCATACTCAGATCATCCTCACCGCGATCCCCAGGCCGATACGAATCGACCAGTCTATCGCTATTATAACCGTAGGGAATCCCGCTGTGTCCACGTCCAGGCATTGGAATCTTGGCTCTTTCGTTGCTGGCAGTGGCTCGGCCTTGGTCGGGGACTCTATCGTCAGACCTGCTGGTTTGGCGTGGGAACTCTCGGCGTCGAAGAGATGGACGATAATGTCGGCTGTCGGATGATCGGGACCTATAGCGCCGGCGATACTTGCGCGATCGGCTTCTATCACGTCCGCCATCGCCTCTGGGAGCTGACGGTTCAGGTGACGCGCTGCGCTCTTCTCGGCAGTTGTCGAATTCACGACGAGTTTCTGGTTCTGGCGTCACCATCCTGCTTTCCGGACCATCTCGATCTTCCAACTCGCTGTAGTGGCCACGACGGACAGGGTCGGAAGCAGATACCGCATACGAGGATGTCTCACCGCCAAAGCTGTAATGACTGCTGCGAGTCGGCTGGTCTGCGTATGGACTGACGTCTCGGCGAGCATGAAGCTCGCCATGTCTCGAGCGGCCTCGATTGTCATACCCAGCAGGACGGTCAGACGTACTCAATTCCTGGGGCAACGCCGTGCTGCTGTAGCGGCTTTCGGTGTCTGAAGGGTAGGGGTACTGGTGGGAATAGGGATGGCTCAATCGACTCGGCCCGCGCGGCACGCCCTTGAGATTTTCAATCTCTGCCTTGTCAAACTTTCTGATTTTACCACCGGTCAGACAGACAACAGTGTTCTTCGCATGCTTGAACGTCCCCTCGAGCTCGGTTATCATCAACGCATCCGCGTTCTTGTTCTCGAGGTAAAGCAGAATATTCTCGGCCGTGTCCCGGAGGAATTTGGCAGTGGTGATGGTCTTTTCTCTGTTGTTTCTGTCGAGCGCAATCAGGTAATCGGCTCGAGCAATCTCGTAGACGGACCACAACGCCCCTAGTCTGGGTTCCATGTCTCTGCGAAGATGCGAAATGGACGGCAATGGTCTTGAAGGCTTCTTGATTTCGCGTTCGACGTCTGGTGCGACCATGGTAGCGTCGTCAGAGGAGGGCAAAGCTGGGGAGAAATAAAACGTTAGGTAAGAAGCCATGGGAGAGACGGAGCGGCCATTCTACCTTGCTTCAGTGCTTCGGGGACTTGAACTGTCTGCTGCAGAGTCCGGGTCAATTGTGTGATGGGTCCTCCAAGGTCGATGTTGAGATACTCTTCGCAGAAGAACTTGACCGACGCCGGGTGCATGAGGCATCTTGGGTGTTCCGTGAGGGCCAACAGTGCCTTGTCGAAGATGGTGATCTGAGCGTCTCTGAGGTCCTGCGAGCGAGACTTGATGAGTTCGATCTGGCGGCTGAAGAGTGCGAAAAAACCGCTTTGATGGGAAGCGAGAAAGTGGTCAACAGCAGGACTCAGAGTCTGAGTTTGCTGCGCCTTCTCAACCAAATCCGCCACGTCGGCCTCCAGGCGCAAAGACAGACGTGGCATCGGCGAGGAATGGCAAAACAGCGGGCTGCTATCGCGTGACATTGTCGAAGCCATGAGGTGAACAATGTGCTGGAGTGTCGCATGGGAAGGAGAAGAAGGAATTCCCAGATATGAGACTGACCGCGAAGCGCGCAGCCATCTTGAGACGGTGAAGAGAGATTCAGCTTGCTGCCGCACCCGGTGAACACGCACACACCGCGGCCATGGACTTGAAGTTTGCAACAGCCTCCAGGTCTCATTGTAAGGTGAGCATCATCCTTTCTTCCAGGTTGTGGTGAAGGACTTCGCCTTAGCCGCCCACGCAAACACCAGAACCTTTCGCCCTTTGTCCGCCACTCATGTTTTCACAAACCTTGCACCTTCTGTGAGGCGCGACGCACTCATTTAAGGGGACACATCCTGCATCTTTCGCTGTGAGACAGGCAGATATCAAAGAAAGGATCCTTTTGTTGGGCCAGAACCACTTTCCTCTCGCACTTGGTCAATGGTTGTCGCTTCCCTCCTATCGGTGTCATACCAAACTTACGAGACGAATCCACGGTGAGTCCTCGAGTCTGCACACGGCTTCGAGACTTCTCTCCACTCCATCGAGGACCTTGATCCAGACTTCCTAGGTGAACCGATTTCGCGCCCTCCTCTCTATCGAGGACCTTTAAGCTCCAAGGAGTCTTCTATTTTATCAGACCCCATTCCCTGCAACACGAGCCAAGAAAACGGGGAGTCCCAAACACCTCGCAAAAGAGATCAAGCAGTATACGAACGACGTCGGCACGCCCCAGTCTATCACCAGTTGACCGCAGTCCCCTTCGCCCTCGAGAATGTCGACCAATTTGTACGACATCACTATCCCAGACCGGGCCTGTGCGCTTGACCATGGCCTTGACGGCACTCGCGAGAGGAACGCAGCGGTAGCCCGCAGGCTGAAACAAGAAATTGGCGAGATGAAACTGCAAAAAGATGGACAGGTCAAACTTCGGAGGGAAATCCGTGAACACTGCAAAGCTAAGCTCTCATGGTGCAAATCCATGAGGAGGGCTTTGCTCCAGGACCTGGAAGTTCTCGAAGCGTCAGAACAAGGCATTAACTCGGAAGAGCTACGCGAGAATTCTCGTCACCTCCACGAGTTCGAGAAAGAGATGTGGGTCTTGCAGTTCGACTGGCCACGCGAGGCAGGTATCGCCCTTCGAGAGTGTTTGGAGCTCGAGGCTCGCATGTCTGAGGCTCTGACCATGGCCGTGGCAACCTGCGTGAGCGACATGCCGCTGAGCGGTATTATGGACAAGGAAGTCTGGTCAAAAGCTCGGAATACTGACCAGGCATATTTCGTTCGGCATCTCGTCAGGAAGTACGAAGCCGGTGATGATCGACGTTGGTGCCCTATTGTATCCCCGTGGAAGAACGGGAGGAAGTTCGACAAAAGCGACGTCAGAGTGGCACACATCGTACCAAAATTGTCTTCGAGATGTGCAAGTGGCCCATCTCTTCGGACTACCTGTCGAAGATGGCTACGCAAAGCTTTGGGACCCAGCGAATGGACTAATCCTCCATAGGGAAATAGAGCAAGCGCTGGATGCGGCCGCAATCCAAATCGTTCCTGGATTGACCGAGAAGAATGCGCAATGCCTAAGGGTCGTTGTCCTGGATCCGGACCACAGCATTTTCGCGGACGGCGCCAATATCTTCGACGGGAGAGTACTCGAATTTCGGCCTGGTGTTGACGCACGACCGGGCGTGGAGTATCTGTACGTTGCGGCTCTGCTCGCAGCCTTCCGAAGAAAGCGCTGGGACTGTGTCGGATGGAGAGATGACTATAAGAAGCTCTCCCACGAAGTCCCGTGGCCCGAGGACATCCCAGTCGATCTCGCAATGAGCACGTTGCGCGCTCTCGCGAGGAGCTGTGGCGATCTGCGACGATTCGACAAGTTCTTTAGGAACTCCCCCAGCCAGGACGACAATGCCCCCAACCACGACTCCGACCACGACTCCGATGTTAAAGGGACCCGTCGTGACGAGTGGAACGCCCTGCTTGATCTCCTCAATGCGGTCATGAGTGAGGGTATGAAGCCCCGTCACGCTCGACGTCGGGACATTGAGGAGAATCCAGACGAGTTCTGGGACCGGGAGCTAGCAGACTACGACAACGGACAGCAGCAAGGGCAGTTGATCTTGGACGTGCAAGTCCTCGAGCTCGAGAAGCAGGAACTGATCCACCTGAACTAGGAGCTTGCCAGGGAAGCATCGAGCCGCGGTCGAGGATTTGCAGGAGAGGATGGCGGAGCTGGAGCGGACGTGCGCGGTAACGGTGGCGGACGTGGAGAAGACATCGTCTGCGGCCGTCATTGAAGGATTACGCAGAGAGCTGGAAAAGAGTCGAACAAACGGTGGCGCAGCTGGAAAGGAAGCGTTGAGCCATCCAAGGTCCAAAAGGCATGATGGGATTCGAGGAACCCAAGAGACCAGTCGGCCTCAGTCTTCCTCGAGCAGCACTCGAACTGGGTGAACGGGCATCTCGCTTCTTGATGCGGCCGAGAACCAGAGTCAAAAGACAATGGCTGTACGTGAAAAGTTTCTCATTAAAAGAAAAAGTCTATCTATGCATGCTATGGCGAATCGCAGCCCTAGCCCGGGTTTCCTCAAATGAAGCTCCCCGGCCTGCGAGAAAGCCCAGGAAAAAGCACCAGTAAAAGACCATTTTCCCAGGACTTGCTCAGTCGACCATGTGACATAAGAAAAAGCATATTCAGCCCCTCCCCGGTCTATCATACACTCGAACGAGATCAAGGCTCGTAGTCAGTGAGCCACCTCGAAGAGGATCGAGAGCCCCCACCCAGCTCCACAGTCAAGAGAAAGACGCCATTCGCCGCCGTCAGTACACCGCAGCCCCAGTCCCGCGTTCGTGGAGCCTCATTGCAGAGCACTCAAAGTAAGATGTTGGGATATCAAAACTTTTGGGTGTGAGACGTATTGCTCAAGTGGAAATACAGTGGTCATGCAATTTGCGGGTCAAGTTTTGTGTCACGAGAGAGAGCGACATTCGGGGTCGATCAAAGGCCGCCTAGGCAGATGCTTCGGCACCCTCAGCTTTGGGGGCATCCTCTTCTTTCGTGCCGTTGGGACCAGCCGGTTCGTTGGTCTGACGGCCTTTGACGTATTCATCATAGACAGTAAGAGCTTCGTCGACCTTGGCACGAAGAGCAGCCTCTTCGTCGATCCTAGCTTGAGTGTTAGCAAGTGGCAGGCAGATGTAGGCCAGTGGCACGACTTACAAGGCTAGAAGTTCCGAATTGTCCATCTCCAAAAGCATACCAGTGATCTTGCCAGCAAGTTCCGGTTGAATCTGTTGGATCTTGGGATAGATAGCCTCACCAAGCATCTGCTTCTGCTGGTTCGGGGGCATTGAGGCGAGGTTGGCGAGGCCACCAGCCGGCGCATCATCTCGGGGAGGTGGAACCTGCCCACGCCCTTGTGGTGGCATGCGAGGACCAGCTTGAGGGGCTCCCATGTTCTGCATTCCACCTCTTCCACCTTGTGGGAATGCGCCGCCACGCATACCACCCATACCCTGCATGGTAGGAGGGATACCTTGCATGCCTTGCATCTGGCCACGACCACCGGCGCCGCGACCCATTTGGGCTTGCATCTGAGCTAAAGCTTGCGGGTTGTTGTACATACCGTTCACCAGAGCAGGATTTTGGATGAATGGCATCTGGCCAGGCAGACCAAAGTTGGGCGGCAGCTGTTGACCTTGGGGCATGCTGCGACCCTGCTGCGGGAAACCGCCAGGGAATTGTCCACGCCCACCTTGCATGCCAGGGATGACCATGCCAGGTTGACCAGGGAAGGGCATGCCAGCGCGCTGAGCACCAGGTGGCAGGAACTGCTGACTGGCGGGGCCATAGAAGACGGTAGGCTGCATGTAGCCTTGTGGCATACCGGCGGCCGCAGCTTGTTGCTGTTGGCGAAGGGTGTTCCGTGCTTGGATACTAGCCTCGAGTTGCGATTTGCGAACATCCTTGCGCTGAGCGAGGGCAACGTACAATGGCTTGCCGCCGATCATCTTCTGGTTCATCTCCGAGACTGCCTTGGAAGCCTCATCTGGGTTGCTGAAGCAGACGAAGCCAAAGCCTTTGCTCTTGCCAAAGGTCTTCCCGGCAGGCTTGGCCTCCTTCTTGGCCTCATCTTTGGCCTCATCCTTGTCGTTGGTTTCAGTCTGGGCCTCTTCACCAGACTTCTCAGCATCATCCTTCTTGTTCTCCTTGTCCTTCTCGGTGGCGGGAGAGTCAGTGCGTTCGTACGCTTCGCGCATGACTTTGGCGGAGGTGATTGTGCCATAGCTGCTGAAGAGATCGCGTAGCTTGTCGTCGTCGACATCATCGGTCAGGTTCTTCACATACAAGTTGACGCCCTGGTACTTCGAGGCCTTCTCCATGCGGGCAGCCTCGTACTGTTTGCGAAGCTCTTCCTCGCGTTCGTGCTTCTTCTGTGCGCGACCAACGTACAAGTTCTTGCCATGGAAGTCCTTGTCATTCAGCTCGTCCACAGCCTTGGCGGCCGCCTCATGGCTGGAGAAATTGACGAAACCAAAGCCGCGGCTCTTGCCCATCTCATCGCGAGTGATGGTAGCTGAGACGACGGCGCCGTAGGGCTCGAACAGCTGCGTAAATTCCTCATCGGTCACTGACTCGTCGATGTTCTTGATGTAGACATTGGTGAAGTTGGCCTTCATCTCCTCGAACTTGCTCTGTCGGTCTCGCTTTGCAATGTGATGTCCAACAAAGACCTTTTTGTCGTTGAGCAACATGCCATTGACAGACTTGATGGCCTGATTGGCGGCTTCGGCGGTTTCGTAGTGAACGAAGCCGTAGCCCTTGGAGTTTCCAAGCTCATCCTGGGCGACCTTGCAGCTGAGAATATTGCCAAACTGGGTGAAGGTGTCGTGAAGCGCTTTGTTGTCGATTGCCGCGTCCAAGTTCTTGATGAAGACATTACCTTGTCCAGTCTTGCGGAGAGCGGGATCGCGCTGAGACCACATAATGCGGCACGGGCGACCCTTGATGCTGGTGTAGTTCAGATCTTCCAAGGCGCGCTCGCCATCAGCCGTATTGTTGTAGTTGACGTAAGCGTAGCCAAGAGAACGGCGGGTGACAGCATCGCGGCAGACACGGATGGAGGCGACTTGGCCGATGGAGGAGAACAACTCGAAGAGCATGGCCTCAGTGACGGAGGGATCGAGCTCACCGACGTAGAGCGAGGCAGAGTGTTGCGCGGTGTTGGGGGTGGCAGAGAACGGAGTAGGCATATCACCGTCGACCGGACCGGCAGGCGCGACATTGGTGTCGATCGCAGGGGCGCCGTTCTGGGCTGGGGCGTCGGCGGTGCCATTCTGGCCAGCAGCAGGAGCAGCAACGTCCGTAGCAGACATGTTGGCTGCAAGATGTTAGAAAAATCTGCCGTCAAGGCTGCGCTGGCAGTCGGTTGTGGAATGGATGTCTCCTCGTCTCTGTCGGGTGAGAGTGGAGTCAAGGAGCGCTCACTTCTTTATTCGATTTCGAGGATAACAAAGAGCAAAGGGAAGGCGGTCGTTCCTGAGCAATGAAGATGATGTCTGGGTAAGAGATATGTTGCTAGAGTCGAGCACTGTGATACATGTCAGATGTCGCTCCTGGCCCGGTCGAGTTTTCGAAGTCGGAAAAAAGGGTGCGCAGGCACGGGCATGGAGAAACTTACCGCACGACCGGGGGGTTTTGTGGGAGGGTTTTCACGTTTTTTTGTGGGTTTCTGGACTGTTTTATGGGGAAAGGGCCAGGATAGCAAGCGACTGCAAAGATAGCAGACGATGCGAACGACGAAACTGAGTTCTGAGGGTTGGGTAAGGAAAAAAAGGTGATGGCGATGGGCGAGGAAGCGGTCGAAATCAGACCAAAATGTCAGGCAATCAAAAAGTTTGGGCAAGAAGCCACGCTACTCCGAAAGCGGTAAGCGCGACGGCACTCCCCAGATGGTCGTGGCTGCCTCTGCGCTTCCCTTCTCTCCGTACTGTGTACATGGTTTCTGGAAGCATCGAGTGGCGAGCGCAATGGCCGTAGCAGTGGCATTGACCTTTGGGACAGACCGAACTACTGTATCCCTTCCTGGACAGCTCAATCGCGTCGTCCTCCGCCCATAAAAGACCCAGGCGTCGCCATGGCGTCCAACAGGGTACTGAATCAAGACTGAACCAAGACTGACCTGGGCCCCCAACTTCACCAAGGATGTTTCTGGCAGACATTCATTAGCCGCTGACCGACCAAGGATGAGGGTCCCTGTGCTTACCCTGCCATCCCAACACCAGAATGTGCCACTGTCGTCCTTCCCTTTCTCCGCAAAAACCACCAACATCTTCCTCACGCTTTCTTCCGGGGTGATAATACCTTCGACCTCCCAGTCTACATCGATATTCGCCATGTCGCTGGTAGACTTGTCAGCTTCTCTCTCCCCTCTCTTCTCTGTGACTTACGTCTGGACTTCCCCCGGATGCATGGCCAGCACGCAGACATCCGCATGCTTGCCCCCTCTCCGTTTGAGTTCGGCAGCCATGTGCCGGAGCATCTGGTTCAACGCGGCTTTACTAGCCCCATACGCGCCGAATCCGTCTTCATGGTCTCGAAACAGTTGTGTGGACCCAGAGTCCGACGAGATGAAGATCACCTTCGCAGGGGGTGCCGCTTCGCTGATCTTCAGCAGTTTCTGTGCGATGATGATCGGGCCTATCGTGTTCGTGTGTAAATGCAAGGCAAAGTCGCCGAAGGATCTGGAGATGACACGCAATAAGTATTTTGCCCCAGCGGAAAGGTTGGGACGAGTCATTTCCAATCGTACATCTCGGTAGCTCTCTGCTGGTAGTATTAGCATTTTCGCGTTCATTACCTGCACGTATTCTTACATTCGGATACTTCAGGATGCCAGCGTTCAACACGATATTCTCTATCCGCACTCCTTTGTCAATCAACCTCTTCATCGCACCGACAAATGCCTGTTCGTCGCATTAGAGTCTCTAGGATATCATCCACCGATGGCCTGGGCCATCTGGTCGGTCTCACATCGATGCTTGCTTCCTTGGTCACATCGCACTGTTCGATCAAGCAGGCAGCCGGTCTCGTCTGTTGTGCAGCGAGCTGCCAGATTTCATTTGCGGTTTCTGGTGCCCGCACTGCTGCTATGACCTGGTTGCCTCGTTCTAGCAACTGGCGGACGAGCTCAAGTCCAATTCCACGTGAAGCTCCGACAATAACCCACGTGGACGGGGCCATGCCTAGCCAGCGGAGTGCTGACTAAACGGTTGCGGGTGCGTCTCTACTGTGTATGCGTAACCTGGGATGCCGCGATCTGCGTCGAGGTCCCAGTGTGCGAAAGGACTTGAGGAAGGCGTCAATGCGGAGGGTTGGGACCAGAGAAGCGACAGTGGGGCCTAGATGAGATCAAGAAGGTGCACATGCCGAATGCGGAGGCCGTAGCAATCATTAAATCAGGCGATAGAGCTCAGCAGAACGAAGATACAGGATATGCTGTACGAGTCTTGCCTCGTGTTGCTGGGCAATGGTGATGCGCAGCAGAAGTCGAGCAGGCGGATGGCACAGCCATCGACCGCGTGCCCTCACCGAAGGCGTTATCGTGGCACATGCCCCTCGCTCACAAGCGTCTGCTCAGGATCATTGCGCTTGGGAGACATCGAAATTGTGGACACTTTGACCCAGGTGTCGTCAAGCCTCCGGCTAAAGTTGACTTCATTTTCGCTGGGGGCGTTGTTGGGGCACAAGAGGCGAGTGCTCGAGCGTCCGAGGGGAGCGCAAGCGACAATGAGGGGTCTGGAATACACGTCACAAGAAACCAAAGTTTACACATGCAGCAAATGCAAGGCACCTTCACGGGCTTCGAAACACTTCGGAGAATTGCGAACGAGCCAGACACGCACAGTCGACGCCTCCTTTGCCGCTTCACAGGCGACGAAAATTCCCGACGCGAGCCTCTCGCGTAGTTTCACCCGAGCTGAAGCTTGAAGCGAGATGGGTCCAGAAAGAGCCTCACACCTGTACCATGATGTCTTATGTCTTGTTTTCAACTCTTCTATTTACGCAACACCCTGGGCCGGGCAGGGAGAGACTCCGCATGGCCCTGCTTCAAGGCATCTCCCAGTGGTTCCAATGACACAAATTCCACACATTCCGTGCTCTTGACGTTATCTTGCCGTTGTACGGACAAATGTGCTCGCATCGCTCCATTTCCCGCATGCCGGTTCACATCACCAATTTAGATGAGTTGCTGAAAGGCACGATTGACTGGCGACCGAGGCTTGATGCCCTTGTAGAAGTCGACAGTCGCAACAGCACGCTTGGCAATGCCTTCAGGGGTGAATTCAAATTTCTGCTCAAGTCAGTCGTCATAGCTACCAGATGGTAGGAGAAAAGAACTTGCCTTGTAGACATCCTTGTAGGGGCCAGAAGCACCAAAGCGGTTCAGACCGAATTGCTCGTGTGAGTATTTCTCCCATCCGAGAGTGGACATGACCTCGACTGACAAGGCGGGGATGCCATCAGGAATGACCTTGAGCTGGTAATCCTTGGGCTGGGCATCAAAGACTTCTGTGCAAGGCATTGAGACGACACGTGCGGTCAGACCGTGCTGATCCTTCAAGACTTTGACCGTGTCCACACAGATGCCGACCTCCGAGCCAGTGGAAACAAGGGTGATGTCGGCATTCTGGGCTTCGATTGCAACATAACCGCCCTTGATGGCATTCTCGAGTGTCGAGTTCTCCAACTGAGGCAGATTCTGTCGTGTCAATGCGAGAATTGAGGGCGTGGATTTGGAAGTAAGTGCCATGTAATACGCTGCTGAGGTCTCGTTGCCATCGGCAGGTCTCCAGACCATCATATTGGGAAGAGCTCGGAAGTGCACCAACGTCTCAATCGGTTGATGGGTAGGACCATCTTCACCCAAGCCGATGGAGTCATGGGTAGCGACGTAGATGACTCGCTGATGAGATAGTGACGACAGGCGGACAGCGCCGGCAGCGTATGACATGAAGTTCAAGAATGTACCACCCGCTGGGATGAGCGTGCCATAAGCAGAGATTCCGTTCATGATAGCAGCCATAGCATGCTCACGCACTCCGTATCGCAGGTAGCGACCAGACCAATCGCCGATACCGAGACTTGGAGGCTGGAAGTCAACGGCGTTCTTCCATCGGGTGTTGTTGCTGCCAGTCAGATCTGCAGAGCCCGACAGCAGCTCAGGAACCGCTTCGTGAATGCTCTCCAGGACCTTCTCGGATGTCTTCCTCGTCGCAACTGCGGAGTCAGTCGGCTTCCAGATCGGCAAGCTCTTCTCCCACCCATCGGGCAGCGCCCTCGTCAGACGACGGCTGAAGTCCTTGGCCAGCTCCGGGAACTCGCTCGAGTACTTCTTGAAGAGATCATTCCAGGCTTGCTCGGCGGCAGCACCCTCGGCAGCGTGCTTGTGATACATATCATAGACCTCCTGGGGCACGACGAAGGATTCTTCGGGATTGAAGCCAAATTTCTGCTTGACTTGCGCAGCATCGTCGGCTTTGAGCGGGTTTCCGTGCACTCCACCGGTGCCTTGCAGCTTCGAGCCGAAACCGATCGTGGTCGTCAATTTGATCATGGAAGGCTTGTCCTTGACTTCTTTCGCCTTTGCAATGGCAGCTTCAATGCCCTCTAGGTCGTGATCGCCGTCTTTGACGTGCTGGACATGCCAACCGTAGGCTTCGAATCGCTTCTCAACATCCTCGGTGAATGCGCACTTGGTGTCACCATCTACGACCGTCAGCAAAAGTGAGCATTCACTCGAGCAAAACCTTACCGATGGAGATATGGTTATCGTCGTAGATGGCGATCAAGTTACCGAGCTGCAAATGTCCAGCGGTTGATGCCGCTTCACTCGCAACGCCTTCCATAGCACAGCCATCGCCAAAGAAAGTGTAAGTATAGTTGTTGACGAGTTCATAGCCAGGCTTGTTGAAGACAGCTGCCGTGTGTGCCTGGGCAATGGCCAGACCAACTGCGTTGCTGAATCCCTGGCCCAAAGGACCAGTGGTAACTTCAATACCTGGAGTATCATGAGCTTCGGGGTGGCCCGGGGTTATGCTGTCGACTTGCTGCTGTGGGTTAGCTTCTGTCGATAAACAGCTCAGGAGAGGAAACGAACTCGGAAGTGTTTCAGGTCATCCATGGAGACCGCGTAGCCGAACAAGTGAAGGAGAGCATAGTGGAGCATGCAACCATGTCCGTTCCTGGGATGGGTTAGTGGGAGGACTTGCTAATCGTGTTGATTGTCTTCGCGCGAAAAAGTCCAGCTTCCAACGCAGATACGAGTGGCCTTGCTCCACACGACAGCAGGTTTGGAAGGCTCTTTGTTCCCGCCCACCTCTTTGCCCAGATGTCGATGAGAGTCTTGGTGTGAAGGTACTCACGATAGAACGAATCGATCTCGGTTGATGTACTCGGGGTTCTTGGGGTTGAAGGTCATGAATTTGTTGAAGAGGACATGAGCCACAGGAGCCATACCTTCACAGCGTGCGTCAGCGGTGTCACAGAATGAAGTCTAGTGGTATGGACTTACCCATGGGCGCGCCAGGGTGGCCGCTGTTGGCTTTGAGAGTGGCATCGACCTGAAGGACAACAATCAGTAAATCTTTGAAGCATGAATGAGGGGCAGGGCAACACACGGCGAGGAGCCGGATGGTGTTGATGGCTTTCCAATCGAGATCACTGTACCCCATTGCGACGGTCTGATGGATGAAAGAGGATGGAGGAGTTGGACTGGGAACAGGAAGGAATTTGAGAATGAAGGAGCTGCTGTTGAGAAAAATTTAGGAGCTTTTGACTGTCGGAACTGGCTCAATTGAGGCTAATACTGTCATGCCAGTGCTGGTGCAAGTAGTGACGCCGGGCGCTGGCGGGGCAAATGCTTTGGTGGGATGAACGACAAGTCAGGGTCCCCAAACAGTGACCTCAGACCTCAAACTCGCTTCGTGACTGGCGGGATGCCTCTGTGCTCCGACGGTTCGGCTGCTGTTTCTGTTCCGTCCCCCGCCGTGTCAGAAGTTGTGCGTCTCGAATGTCGAAAAAAAGATAATTACCTGAGTGATGGGTTCACGGGGCTTGGGGGTCGGCGAGGACTAAATACTCTGCGATCCGCCGGCTCAGTCGCACTCTGCAACGCTGATGCACAGGAAACAGAACAAGGAATCGACCTCATGGGCAGCAATGGTTGGCGGTGCCTATCAAAGTCGTTCATCCAAACGCGTCCGCAGCTTTCCGCACACCACATGTGCCTGATTACGGCAGCAGTGTGCCGGCGCATTGCTGACTACGTTTCGGAAAGCCCAGTCAGTAGAGCGCTTCCCACTTGCCTGTTCAAGCTGGCGAATTCTGCGTGACCATCATTTACTAACAACCTTCCGAGTCTGTTTCTGGTGGTCTCCCGCGCGTTTCGTGAGGGTTTCAGCACGTCGAGCTCAACCGCGAGTGCCACTCCTCGTGCCTGGCGACCTTCACTTCCAGAATCATGTCGTTCACCTCGACGCCACAGAGATGATCTCCAGATAATATCAAAATCCTGGTCCCGGTGCAACCTGCCTTCCCCTGGGTATATGCTTTTGCCTGCCGGTTCGTCCACCACCCAATGTTGTATGTTTAAAGAGAAAGTAGGACCATGCCGGTTCATTAGCGCCCTGCCCGTCCGAGGAGCAACGCTCGAACCTCCAACGCCACGCTATGCAGAATCATTCTCAGTGTAACGCCTAGTAAGAGCCATAACCGCCTGCACCATATGGCGTCGCGCCGTAGGGAGTAGCACCGCCCATGCGAGCGCCGTAGGGAGTGTACGCGCCATTTGCTGGAGCCGGCTCGTATCCATCAGGGCTCTGAGCTCCGTTCAGCCCGTCGACGCCTGCAACCTCAGCACCTCCGAGGACCCGAATGGTTTCGGCCAGCTTTTTTTGAATGACGTCGATACCTCCGCGTACAATCTCGTCCGGTTCTAGCGTGCCCACGCCTTCGACATCGAAGAAGAATGCACTTGGTACAGCATCAGGATCAAAGGCGGCGTCCGCGGCAGACTCGTCCCCTTCCCATGTGGCGTTCCGCTCGTCCACGGGCCACTCATCCTTCGCATCGGTTTCATACCAATAGTCCACATGACGCAGTTTGTTGTTGGGATCGTACTCGAAGCCCACCGCTGACGTAGGCGCCCATTTGGCGTGCTCCTTTGCAATCCCCTTTTTCGCGATACATTCCAGCTGAATTTCTTGACCATGTCGCAACTTGGCAATCAATGGACCGTGGCCATTAGCATCACGGATAACTGGTTGGCCGATACCATCTTGACGTGGTTCTTTCACGATCAGATCGCTTGCGAAGACCAACATCGTGCCAGCCTTGTCACACCGAGCGTGGAGCCGAAGGACAACTGAGCAACGTTCACAATTACTGTCGCAGTCACAGTCTCTTGTGTAAAGCAGGTTCTCGTCCACGCCCTTACTCGTCAGGGGGATGAGGCCTAGTCTGTGCGCGAGGTACTCGTCGGGAAGGACCGAAGAATTGATGGAAATGTCAACAAGATCGATGGAGATGGTCGGGATTTCGGCGAGCATGGCGCGGCGCAAGGAGTTTGCCAGGGCAAGAGAGCAGGATTGCAGGACGAAGTCGCATCGATCTCTCTCAACCTGTCCAAGATCAGATCTAGTGAAATCATCGGGTGAAGAGTTGTCTGGCTCACCTCTCTGACTGTGACCTTCAACCCCGAGGTCTCGACACCATCCATAACATCATCATGGAAGCCGTTGTAGCCGTTGTATGCCATGACTGATGCCTCTGCTGGTCTCACAGAGGAGAAACTCGTGAGCCAGGCTGAGGCCCGGGTGATCTGAGCGGAGCGACGGAGGGTGGAAAGATGTGAGAGTTGAGATGCAAGCAGAGGGCGCGCTGAAGCGAGGAAAGTTGATTCAGGGCTTCGCAAAATCGAGTCCTGACAGGCGCAGTCACGTGTCAGTCCAATCACGTGATGTGGCGGTCCTGCCACGCGCGTTACATTTGTCCACGGCACTAAACCGGAAAAGGCCACTGCATTTTGCAGCCACAGCAATAACACCATTGTCACACTGACCACATATTCATCAATTTCTAGCCCTTCTCTCTGCCCCTCCGACAGCTTCACGCTCGTTAAGTTCACGTTTTCTTGCCTGAGCGAGTCATCACGAAGTGTCTTGTTGTCGATCGGGGCATCATCCTGCGAAGCATTCATCTTGAAAGTGCGATACAGTACCGGACCCAGTCAATCTGTTGGCGGGGCATGATCTTTCTGCCTGCTCGAGCACCAACGATTTTCCGGTGCAAGATCTTGCCGGGCGTTGGATTCCGGGGTCCAACTAATAGCTTAGACAGATGCAACTACCGCTGAAACAACACTCGGTCGGAGTCATCAGTGGACTTTTACGTAGCGTATGGCACCATGGACGCGGTGGCTGAAACGTTCACTTCTCAGCCTCTCTGCATGGATTTCGATTACCGTCGAGCAGTTTCCTCCCCTGCCTGGCAATGGAGCTCTAATCGAACTGCCTTCTCCGATCACCCCAAATGTTACTATTAGCTACAAAGCTGTCCCTCCAGGGACTTGCACGACGGTTTTCGCAACTCAGCAGCAGTTCGCGGGCTACATCAAGCTACCGCCGAACTTGCTGGAGCCCACTCAGGGGAACTACTCCATCCATACTTTCTTCTGGTTCATCGAAGCCCGGCAATTGCCTGAGACAGCTCCATTGTCAATTTTTATCAATGGCGGGCCAGGCTCCTCCAGTATGGTTGGTCTTTTTCAGGAAGTCGGTCCGTGTCAGGTTGTCGAAATCGCGAATGGCCAGTTGGGCACGAGCGCACGAGATTGGGGCTGGGATCGAAGCAGCAACATCGTGTTCATCGACCAGCCTGCTCAGGTTGGTTTCTCATATGATGTCCTGACGAATTCGTCTTTAAATTTGTTGGATGAGACCACTGTAATCCCTCCAAGAACTGGCCCTGATACGCAACCTGCATACACATTCCTCAATGGCACTTTTGGGTCAGGAAACCCATCCTTCAGCGCGAATACGTCCCAGGCCGCCGCACACTCTATGTGGCACTTTCTGCAGACGTTCCTCACTTCCTTCCCGCAGTACAACACCGCATTGCGCACACAGGCTGTGGAGTCGACTGCTGAGATCCACCTTTTTACGGAATCCTACGGTGGCAAGTACGGTCCAGCCGCAGGAGAATTCTTTCGAAGCCAGAATTCTCGACGACGAACAGACGTTGGATTTGCAAATAGTACCATTGACGTCACGCTCAAGTCACTCGGCATCATCAATGGCTGGGTTGACTTGTTTACCCAGATTCCGCTTCACCCAAAGTTTGCATACGAGAATAGCTATGATATTGAGGCCATCTCACAGCTACAAGAGCTGAATGCCCTTAGTGCATATAAGAATGCAAATGGGTGTCAGCAACAGACCTCGGATTGCAGAGCGCTGGAAGCTAACCTCGATCCGCTGGGACTGGGAAATGATACTACGGTCAACCAAGTGTGCTCGCAAGCCCAGTCCTACTGCCAGTCTTACGTGGTCGGTCCTTACACTACATCGGGGCGATCTGTTTATGATATCTCCCAAGCTGTGCTGGATCCCTTCCCCAACGCTTTGTACCTGGAGTATCTCAATCAACTACCCGTGCAGGAAGCACTTGGTGTGTCTGTTAACTATACGCAAGATTCGCTCGCGGTTTTCCACGCATTCACCGCGACCGGAGATTATGCACGAGATGGGATTATCCAAGACTTGGTTGGCCTGCTCAATTCTGGTGTCAGGGTCGCTCTCATCTATGGAGACAGAGATTATATCTGCAACTGGCAGGGTGGAGAAGCGGTCTCATTTGCCATCGCCGGTGCCGCCGGCCCAACCTACGAGCCTTGGTACACTGCAGGCTATGCACCAATCGTGGCCAACAGCAGCTATATTGGGGGAGTCGTCCGCGAGTTTGGAAACCTGAGCTTCAGCCGAATCTACGATGCCGGCCACTTAGTACCCGCGTATCAGCCCGAGACCGCCTTCACCATCTTTTCACGAGTGATTGAGGGCACCGATGTCAGCATGGGCCTCCCCGCCGATCCGTCAATATACTCGTCCTGGGGCGATGCGAATTCGACATATGAGAATGTGGCTCCTCCGATGGCAGATCCGACATGCTACCTACGTGCGGTCAACAGCACCTGCGATACAGATCAGAAGAACATGCTGGCAAACGACGCTGGTGTCATCATCAACGGCGTCTTATACGACCAGGCCAGTGACTGGCAAACACCAGATCCAGGGATCACCACGAGGGCAGGCTCCCCTGGGACACCACCTGTCAGCATAATTACCAGCGCTCCGCTTCCCGAGACAGTCTCGTCAACACAGGTATTGTCCAACCTGACCGGAACGGGAAATTTGACCGCCAGTAACACGACCATCCACGTCAGCACCAGACCCTCGAGCCCCAGATCCAGTACCGGCGGTCTTCCCTCAAGGCCACAGCCCTCCACCAGTCTGCCTACGGGAGTGTTCACGGCAACAACCATTCCGCCGAAGACCAGTGTCAGCAGAGCAGCCTCTGCGAGCGCGAGTAACGCGGCGGTGTCTTGCATCAGCACCAGTATCTTTCGCACTCTATCCCTTTCTAGCGATACCCGGCCAGCGACGGTGGCGCTCGTGTATCTCTTTTCCATGTTTGTCATATCTTAAAGGGTTGGGACCATTGGGTAACAACAGCGTAATGAGAACAATGAGAGCAATGATGGGCCAGAAGCAGAGAGTCCAGCCCACGAAGAGCGACTCCAGCAGCGACGCACAACGGCACAGAATAGTGCGCCGGGGCATTTTCCTCCCGAGAGACGATCAACGAGACTGGCGCGCAACGATAGTGTGCGTGAACGATCGATAGTCAATACTGAAAATGACAAATGAGTTGTACCGGCCTACTAACTGATTACCATGATGATATCAGGCACGTTCCGAGGCAATCCCACGTCCGTTAAGATTAGCATTTGACCCCCTGAAAGGGCGGTCGAGCCTTTTCATGTGCTGTCCCGGTGCTAACTAGCGCAGGGTCCGTACTGGCTCGGAGCGCAGGGACTTGGGAGAGCAGACTGACCCATGGTTGTGAAAGTCCCGCCTCCGGGCTTTCATGTACTGTAATGATGCGTGATTTCCGTGGCAGTCGCTTGGGCAGGCGTACTGTGTACAAGTACATAGTCCACGGATGAACGCCGCGTTGATGGTCGAACGAAAGGCACGCACATCATTGGAGAAGAACACACCCAAACAGGTGAAGATGGGCGGCGCCGTCAGTATTCAGGTGAATGCGTAGGTAGTGTAGGTAGGAAGGCCCCTCCAAGAGTATATATCCTCCCATGGTGTCGTGGGCCGGCTATCTCCCCGCCACGCGGAGCGTTAGGGTTTGACAAAAGGCGATCCGTCGGAGGGAACTCGATGTCACAAGGCTTTCGGGTACTGTGCCATCTACTGTGTATGTGCTTCCGCCAAAACACCAGAGCTGTTATCGCCGATCCGTATCCGTGTCGCCGGCTTGATGGCAGTCTTTACTTATGTGTCGAGGAAAGCGCCGCCGGAATAATGATGCTGCTTCGCTGGTTGGACACCTCTCCTTCGTCAACCTGGTCTTGGCGCTAGCAGTGAATGCTCGTAAGGCAAACCTTGGCAGGAGCGCAGGTGTAGCGACCATTGAGAAGCGTTCACCTGAATCTCCTGCGTGATGCATCAATGGTTTGTTGGGTCGCTGTGTAACCGTACTGTCTACTCAATACGCGGTAAAGTGTACAGGACAAGACCCGGTGTCCGTGTATCCAGGGTCGAACTGTCGGCAATTTGAGCCTTGTCGTCAAAGGAACCTTCTCACTCTGGGCGGAACTTTCCACATCTGCGCCCGAAATCGCGAGGATGCGGGCGAAGCCCCACCACTACAGTGCCATCCCGTCGTGCAGTATGCTGCTGACTTCGGCACAGTTACAGAAGGACAGACAGCCCGGTCACCGGGCCCACAGATACACAGGTAAGTCCCGTGGTAGACCGGGCCCTGTTCCGAGAGAGGCCTGCAGCGCGGCCGAAGATGGATCTCGAGGATGGCATCCCCGGCACGCCGCTTGGACTAAGCACCTCGTGGTGTTTGGCCGCTCTCGATGCAAGCTCACCTATGGCATGCCTTCTAGCTGCATGATGTTGATCAGACGAGACGGCGTCAAGCGTCGACGAGATCATTGGAAAGGTATGTTTTTCCTTTCAAGGCTGCGGGGTTCCAAGCCGTTGGGAAGGGTTGGCCCGGAATCAGGCCGCGGAAAGTGTATCCTCCCTTAGCACAACCTGTAGTGGTCATTCGCAGAGTGCCTCTCGGGCTCTATCTGATGGGCCTAATGGCCGTAGCGCAGACACAGTCCACAGCACACTGAGCTTTCGAGAACCACTTCGAGACAAGAGGACAGGAGGCGCCCAGTCGATCGGTAAGGCCCAGGCTACCATCAAGCTAGCGTGCATCTCCGTGGTGAGGTGCCTGCTGGCGAAACGAATGTCCCCCCCGTGGTGACTGAACAAGAGGAAAGTACGGGGGCATGATAGGGGACCCTGTCGTTCCCATCGTCGGCCCGGGTGCGTCGTCTAGTGAGCACGATGTGTTGTCAAAGCTGAGTGACTGTGCACAGAGTTTGCGAGGTACCTCGTGCTTGTACTCGGAAACCATCTGGTGGTTCGGTTGGAATGACAATGAGGTGTCATGTCGTCGCATAGGAAGACTACGGGGTGTAACGTGGAGTCTTCCTCAGGAGATGATGCTGAGCGATTCACAAAGGAACTTGAGGTAGGGAGGACAGCCAGTTGTACTTTCACCTGCTGGGACAGAGTTGAAGCCTCTTACCGAGCAGCTGCGGTTGCCCATGCTTGTTCTAATGGTCGTCTCCTCCACCGCGCAACGGACTTTCGTACCGGCTTTGTGCACACGGGAGTCGACCGGAACCGATGGAAGAGCGATTGTATCGAAGTGCTTTTGGTGTGTTGTGAGCTTTAGGATTTGACTGTTCCGACCTCCTCCATCCTATAGGCCGCTGATACGAGCGAAGCAAAACGAGCATATAAGAAGAGAGCTTGGCTGAGTACACCAAAGGCCCAGAGCGACAATCATAAGCATGACTGTCCTTCGCGGTCGAATTGTTGGAAGAAACGTAGTCTTTCTAGTTGCGTCCATCAGGACCGTGATATCTGGATTGCGGGCCAGGTCCCCGTATTGACGAGTGGAAAAGTGAACTGAAATGCGACTAAAAGCACCGCACCGACAAGCATGATGTTCCTGTTCGAGACCCATGCCTATGCTTCGTCATGATCGCTTTGGCTGGACGCCATGGACGGTGCATCTGTATCCCTGCCTAAGATGGAAGTTCGGCTCAAGCTGCAGAAGTCAAGGTAAATGGAGGGCTTGGAGTCTCATCGAACGCAATCAGCTGCATCATCTCGTTGAACAGAACACCTTCGGATAAGCCGGTCTCTCGGGTTTCGATTTAAGTGACGCGTGACGTCTGTCGCGGCTACCATCAGGACGAGCAGGACCGACGATTGGATGCCGATCCACTTTGCTCAATTACCAGGGAGCTGGTGGCCAGGTCAGTCAGGCGAGCACTAGAGCCCCTGTCCATACACGACATCGCCTGTAAAGTCATACCTCAACAGGAGCCGGGAGTCCAGCGTTGAGTACCCTGGACTAGCCGGCAGTCGAGTCTCTTTCGTGCCGGATCGCTCTGGTTCGATGACTGATACCAGCTATACCGTTCCGCATTGTCAGGCTTGTAGAAAATATGTCCACGAGTGATGCTGGTATCTGGCTCAAGCTCGGGGTTGGGCATGCTGGGTCAGCTTGGAACTCACATGCAAGCGCCATATGGAGACGTAGTGTGCGAAGCACATCTCATCTGGGCTTGAGTATGGCTGAGTGTTGTTCATCCTGTTCCATCTCCGGCGCAAAACAAGCGGATTGGTTCCAAAAGCAGAAAAGAAGAAGAAGAGAATAATCACTTGATCAGCAGGAAGCTCCTGGCAACAAAGTAGTCCTTGAAACGTGTCCAGCAGCCTTGCGAAGTATAGATCAACGGGCATTGTCTGCGGAGGTCCGTATGCAGTCCGCAGTGGTGCCAATCCTGGGCTCCAAAATTACATCGCAGTCTGACCAAGAGGCTGAGCATAGTCACACCCATTGACGGATGCATCCTGTGTTGAGCGAGGCTCATGGCTTCTGCGCTCAACGAGTACAGTACATAGTACTTAGTACACGTGCGTCGAGGAGGATCAAGGTGGAAACGAGGGTATGCTTGCGATCGTCATGTTGGCACTGTCGTGGAGTGGGAAGCGAAGGCTACCACCCATTCCTGAAAAAGGCTGAATTGGACAGTCAGTGTCAGAGTCGCAATCATGCCCGACGATGAACACCGTACCTCGTACGAGAAGGCTCGCTTAGGGTTGCGTGAGGGTGGCGAGGCGGATTGGCGAGGACAGCCCAAAGGAGGCTGCGCATCGATATTGCAAATGACGGTACAAGGCAGTCGGATACAGGTACGATGTGGTATGCAGGTCGGAGTGAACAGTCAGAGAACAGTCAGCAGGCACTGAGAAGAGGCTTGTCACCTAAACAGGCAAATAGTCCGGAGCCACGGGAAGCTTGACCCTGGCATGCGACGAGAAGAGGTGAAGGTGGCGGCCGAGTGAAGAGACAAAGAGGGCACAGGTACGAGTACCGAAAGTGGAAAATGTGGTCAATGAAGAGACGAGACGAGAGGACCAGCGGGCAATTCGGCCGAGCGCGTCGGTGCCCGCAAGCCGCAAGCGCACATCGGGGTCTGACGCCAAGCCCAAGCTGGTGTGTCGTGCTAGCTATTAGCTAAGAAATTGCTAATCCACTCGTCGAATTTTCACCAGCCCTTTCCCTTTTCACTGATTCCCCAATCGCCGCAGACTGACCATCTCCTTCACTTATTACTCATCATCCGGAGCCTGAGCACGCTCTCGCCATTCAATTTCGCCCCTTCTCTCGTGGCCCACGGCTCGACTGCTGACTTTACATTTCGTCAATCCGCCCTTTCCTCCAGCGGCGCCGCGTTCGAATTCATCTCCGCTGAACGGGTCTGCGCGTCTGCGCCTGCAATTTACAGAACAATCAGCACTCGATCATCGATTGGGTCTCCCCTGGTTGCGTCTCGTCACCTCATCCGACCGATCCTGAGCCCGGGGAGCACTTGTGACCGGTTTCGCCGCTTGTTCAAATCAGTCGCCCAGCCCTCCACTTGCCCCCCCGCGAAATACAGTCCACCATCATTGACCAAAAAAAGGTTATGCAACCGGCCCTCGCTCCTCGCACGGCTAGCTCTCCTTCAACCATGCCTCAGGTAAGCAGCCAAGAACACCTCGGCCCTTACTCAGATTCCTGCTTCGAGCTGTTCCTTGATGCCCTTTCCAGCGCTCTTGGTGAGGGTGACACGGCATTTGGGGAGGACCTGGGTGTCCAGAAGCCCGTCACACCCATCCCACATTATCCCGTCGCATGACCACGGTCATCAAGAAGAGCATGCCAGCCTTGCTCAGGATTTTGCTTCCCACCATGTCTTGCACCCAAACAGCCACACCATCACGGTGTCCAGGCATCAGTGCCTGGCTCCATCTCTCTGCCTTCCACCGACGACTTTCCCAAGCCT